TCGCAGCGGATCACAGCGGCAGCAGAGGCACCACTCGTGTTCCCGAGGTACTGCGCAAGCACGAACAGCTCCTGCTCCACAGTGGGTGACAGGTGGATCACGTGCTTCCTGAACTTGTTCAGCTGCGGCTGTAAAAACAGTGGGTCAATGAAGTTCACATTCGGGACATCCAACATCGCCTCCGTGACAGTGCCAGCAACAGCATGAACACGTATCCTCCTCATNGCAGCGGATCACAGCGGCAGCAGAGGCATCACTCGTGTTCCCGAGGTACTGCGCAAGCACGAACAGCTCCTGCTCCACCGTGGGTGACAGGTAGACTACGTGCTTCCTGAACTTGTTCAGCCGCTGATGTAGCAACAGTGGGTCAATGAAGGTCACATTCAGGACATCCAACATCGCCTCCGTGACTGTGCCAGCAACTGCATGAACACGTATATTCCTCATAAAAGCAAGTAGTTTATCGTGTGCACCATTCGTAGTTGACAGAGCTGACTTGATGTTAAAACCATGCTTTGAGGTATGGTCTCCGTCATCACGTAATGCAGCAGTAGCACTCGCNCAACTTGCATTGCACGGGTCGCATTTACCGCCACAGAAGAGTCAGTCATCATCATTGATACAGCACTGAGGGGTGGAAGCAAGTTAATAGTCGAGGCATTACACTGCAAGAATCTCTTCATACTATCATCCATCAAACTCTCAGCACGGTAGTCCTCCACAAAATGCTTCATGTAGATAGTCCGACCACCTTGGTTGCAGTAACACACCGCTCCCTGAGATGCAGCAATATCACTGCACTCACCACCGTACTCACCAATCACAAGGTCATCAATCAAATACCGGCGCTGGTTGAAGAGTGAAGTGATAAAAGTAGACCTATNTGAGGGGAGAAAGCACGTTAATAGTCGAGGCATTACACTGCAACAATCTCAACATACCATCATCCACACTCTCGGCACGGTAGTCCTCCACAAAACGCTTCATGTAGATAGTCCGACCACCTTGGTTGCAGTA